GTTCTACCTCAGGAAACAGATCGGGTGCAGGTGTCTTGTTGGAAGGACCAGACGGTCAAATGGTCAATTTGCAGTTGCAATTAGAAGCCATGACCCATAATTCAGCAGAATATGAAGCTTTAATCTTGGGATTAGAAGCTTTAATAGCTAGGAAAGTTCAGTCGGTTATTATAAAAGGAGATTCTCAGTTGGTAATTAACCAAGTAAACAAACAGTATGTTTGCAATTATCCCCACCTACGCAGAACAGGGATTTGGTAGGTCAATTGCTATCAAAGATCTCCAAAGTGATAATTGAATTCATCCCTAGAAAGGAAAATCAGTTTGCAGACGACTTAGCTCAAAAAGCCCTTCAAAGAGATTGGCAAGGAAAAAGGTGCCTAATGAAAAGAACTGACCCGAGGCTATGTGTATGGCAAGATCAAGATGAGAAGGGAGGACACATTTCGAAGGGGAAACCACAACATACTTACAGAGCCAAAAGAGCAGGAAGGCTGTGTGTTCTCGGTCGATTACAGGGGTCCCGTCTGCTCCTTGCTGGTCTATTAGAAATTTAATCCAGCCCCATTCTTTCACGTCTGTCAGAGACCAGCCCAAATGGTTTGCATTGGGCTCTTGTCCATCTAGGGCAACCATTACAGGGTCTTCCCCTACGATTGGCAGATGGGCGATCATGGCCACATCCATGAGAGTGGGGCCGATGGGGGCTGTTGGAAGAAGGAAGATGCAGACCTCAGGGTGCCAAAACGCTGCCATGGCCAGAAGGACTTTCTCATGTAAATGACATGGGAGAGTTGACAGACGTATGGCCTGGTCGATTTGTTGAGCTTTCCATTGATCCTGGTAATGTTCTGCTACTCTTTGGTACCAGGTGCGGTAGGGATCCTTGAGGTCTGTCAAGTGCGTTTTGATGTTGTCATGGAGGCGGGTTGCGTTGTAGTTGGGGTTGTTGATCGCCAGCAGATTTCTTGCCTCCAAAACTTCTCTCATATGGTTGGAGTCTTCATCAGTTGTGCAATATGGGGGAACAGTTGGAGTGCGCATTTTCGTCGACACGATAGTGGTTTCAGGGATTGATCCGTCGACAGGGAGTGCAAGGATGTATCGATTCGCCATGGTTAGAGTTGTAGAGATTATGATTTGCAAAGACTCGTATTGAAGAAAGGAAAGTTTGGTGGAATCAGGAGTGTTGCTGTAACTGGTGCAGTTGCCAAGGTGATTTCTCAGTAGGGTTGTGATTGGTGAACTTCCAAACGACGATTGAGAAATGGCGTTTGAAAGTCCCTTGGCGGCGGGCAAGTTGTTACGTATGAAATTTAGAATTATTTTAAAAAGCCCAAGGTAAAAAGAAAAAATGGGCCTAGCGATCAAGTTGATCGAACTGGCCGAGGGGCACCGTGGGAAACTCAGGTAAAATAGATATATTTCTAAGGAAATAGCGGGTCGGAAGGTTCGCAGGTCGGAAGGTCCTCAGGTCGGGAGGTCCGCAGGTCGGAAAGTCCTCAGGACGAAAAGTCCGCAGGTCGGAAGGTCCTCAGGTCGGGAGGTCCTCAGGTCGGAAAGTCCTCAGGACAGAAAGTCCTCAGGTTGGGAGGTCCGTAGGTCGGAAGGTCCTCAAGTCGGGAGGTCCGTAGGACGGAAAGTCCGCAGGACGGTAAGCCGCAGGACGGAAGATCTTCAGGTCGGGAGGTCCACAGGTCGGATGGTCTTTAAGTCGGGAGGTCTGCGACTGGACTAACAAATCGGATGGTCTTTAAACCAGGAGGTCTGCGGCTGGACCAATAAGTCGGATGGTCTTTAAGTCAGGAGGTCTGCGACTGAACCAATAAGTCGGATGGTCTTTAAGTCGGGAGGTCTGCGACTGAACCAACAAGACGGATGGTCTTTAAGTCGGGAGGTCTGCGGTTGGATCAACTAAGTCGGGTGATCTGCAAGTCGGGAGGTGTGTAGTCGGATCAGTAAGGCGGAAGATTTGCGGTCGGGCCAAAGGGGCAGAAGGTCTGCGGTCAGTCCAGGTAGTTAGACATTGTTGAGAGTAAGTGAGAATCATATTGTGGTCGGTTGAGGGCACGTGTCAGCAGGAGAAGGGTTAGCAGACGGTTGTAAAAGAGACGTTGTAACCGTTCGGGCGACGGTTTCCAGTATCGTTTCTCAAGGAGTATTTAAGGATTTGGACGTTTCTGGAGAAGGCATCTTCAATCAACTTCAACAAAAGCAAAGTCAGATTTGGGGATCACCACTTTAAATTTCCAGTATTTTAATATCCAGTTAATTTTCTTGTGTATCATATAGTGTTTAGAGATTCCTAATCTCATACGCTAATTAATCAAATTTAAGGATATTTTCCATATCATTGAATTTTAATTTTTGTTTGTTGAAAAAATACATCAACAGTACTATTATGAGTATATCCTATGAAAATGCAGTCCACTATCTTGAAACCGATTCTCACTTATTTGGGAGGTGGCACCTACTACCTTAGCCAGACACCCCCTACACTCGATGGTGTTTGTAAGATGGTATTCAACATTTCCAAGGCTCATAAGAGGTCTTTTGCATTTTTTTTCCAAGGAATTAAGGTAAGCTGATAATTATTGCTTAAAATGGCCTCCCCCCACATGTTTTGGGGTCATCAACAACTTAACAACATCGCATAACTTATGCTGAGGCGATGAGGCCTTCTGAAACGCATCTCTGGAAATAAGCCGTAAAAAGTGAAATCGATTATATTTCCCAAAATCACACTTGGGAACTTGTGGATCTCCGTCCTAACTCAAAACCTCTCGGATCAAAGTGGATCTTCAAGAGGAAATTAAAATCGGATGACATAATAAAAAAGTACAAGACCAGACTTGTTATCAAAGGTTACAAACAGCGAAAGAACCTAGATTATTTTAATACATATTCTCATGTTACGAGAATATCATTCATTAGAATGATACTAGTAAAACTTTTGTAACATCGGCAAATATCGCGTAGTAAATGGTGTCGAAGTCAAATCCACATGAACTGTGTAAATTATTTCCTATATTATCATAATTAAATATTGATGGAATAGATTAAAAATTCAACTAAAATGAAAATTATTTAAAATAAAGCAAAAATTCAAATGAAGATTAAATATTCAGTTCAAGAAATGAATAAGAAACCGAATAAAGAATTCAATCAGTTATTTAAAATAATTTTGTTGATCAAGTAATAAATTAGTTATATTCCTTAGATATGATCACAACGTCCAATTTTTTTTACCTTGTTAGTTGTAATGGTACAACATATTAACCAGATCCCTAATCGAAGAAATAAACTAGTTACAATCATAGAATAATTTCTCCAATTGAATTTATTACAAGAAAAAATCAATTCGAATACTCAATCAATTACGAAAAGATTTATATATCTGATCATGAAATTTTTAGGCCAAGCTCGTAGACCTGTTTACCACTTTTTAAAATAACTACACTTACGGATGCAAATATTTGATTAATACACAATTGCTAAATCAATTTACAATCCAATTACGAACCCGAAGAATTGAGCTGAACATACGTAGTTTTTCAAATCGCTTCATCCCCAATCCTAATCAAAATTGATATAATAAATTGGCAAAATAATCTATAAAAATATATAATCATATGTGACTCATCAAATACTCACTCCATCCCAGAAGAAAATATACATTAGTTTTTGCGTAGGTGATTAAGAAATAATAGTATTTTATTGATTAGTGAAGGTATTTAAGATTATTTTCACATTTTTCCCTTGGAAGTACTAAAGATACTTTGCAAAAGTTATGGTATTTTGATATTTATATTGATTATTTTTATTATAATAAAAAATAAATACTCTTGAATAAGGTTGGACGAAAATAGTAAAAAAGATACATTTAGTTGGGATAAAAGGCATTATAAAAAATAATATATTTTATTAAATTATTAAATCTTTTTGTGAGTAAATAAAATATATTTTTATATATTACTGTGTTAATATGTATGTATATTGTATTTTAAATAATATTGATGAGAATACTATTCATATATTTTCTTTTAAAAACACCGTTCTATTTTAAAAATATCATACTTTCTTCGTCCCACCCTAAATGACTCTTTGAGATTTTTTAATAAATTAAAAAAATAATACAGTAGTCTTTTATTAATTAGTAAAAATGTACAAGAGGTTTTGACATTTTTTGTCCTTTGAATTTATATATAAATTAATTGTACGTGTAATGGTATATCTCTAATTTAAATAAAAATTAAGAATATTTTAGTATTAATGTATAATTATTTTTATTAAAATATAAAAGGAATGAAGATACGAAAATAATAAAAAGGGTAATGGAAAAGTTAGAGTATTATATATTAATTATTTAGTATTTTTTAAAATAAATCCAAAACTAAAAAAATTTCGGTATAAACTATTCATTTGATATTTTATTAAATTTTAAAAATTTTATGAATTTATATGGATTTAGAAATATACATAATCTATGCAGAGTTTAATGGATTTTATGTATTGATTTAAATATATTTTTATAAATTTGATTGAATTGTTTATGGATATATATAGATATTATGAAATTGTAAAATATTTTTTTATTAATTTATATAAAGTTATATAAAACATATTTGTAGATAAAAAATATTCAAATAAGTGTGTTTGGTATTCATCCCATTTTTTTCCTTCAAAAACATCAAATTAAACACCTATATATTTAAATTACATTATACAACTATTCAAATTCAAAATTTTTACTATTCAAATCCCAACTCAAAATCCAATCCCCAAACAAACACACCCTCGAAATAAAGTATTACATTTTTTATAAAATAAAGTATATATCAATATATATTATCAATAATGTATAATTTCAAGAGTTCAACGGAATCTTAAAAAAACCCATAATTAAATACACCTCCCGAAATAATACAGCATACTAAATTTAGGCAGTGTAACCAGTACAAGTTTAAAAGTTAAATTAGATGCAAAAATTTGGTACATAAATTATGTGAGTTAGTTATATGATATAAGAGAGAGTGCAAGCACAAATGTACATCAAATTCTTAGTTTTCTGATGGCCTAAGTATAATACATAAAATCAATAATAATCTCTCCGCATTCATAAACAACAACAGTTCAATCTCATCGTACCCGGTCTTGCCCTTCCGCAACGATTACCAAAACTACTCCGCCAAACACGGCGGCGGTGGAGTCGACAAAACCTCTACGAGACGCTTTTCAAGCCTTTTGGCACCCGAACTGGGCTTCAAGATGTCAGCGTCGCCCCAAAGATTGCATACATTTTCAGGCGCGTCGCCTAAGCACCACCCGCCTGGAACAGGCTCGCCGGAACTTCGCTGCAGGACTTCCCTGTCGATGCGATCGAGGAAGGGGTCGTTTGCGGGGAAAGGCGATGCGAAGGCTGCCCCGCTGTCGATTATTTCGGCGAAGTTGCTGGAGTTTAGCAACACGCGGCGTTGCCTGGAATCGAGCGAAGTGTAGTGCAGGCCGTGGTTGATGGTGGTCCAGTTGAATTGATGAGCATTGCACAGGACGGTCGGGAAGTACATGGAAGCTGATGCTGGTGTGTTTGACACGTACATTAGGAGAGCTCTCGGTAGGTTGTCCGTGCCCAAGATGCAGAACTCGATAAACTTCCGACTCAAGACAGTCGTCGAAGGACCTGGCGGAAAAAAAAATCAAAAAATATCCTCAACATCCATCGTAGAAAAATAACCAAAATATCAGCTTAACCCGGCGACATTTTCATGTGTCTCAGTGTAATCACTGATCGATGCTGGATGTATCCTAGCACCGAAGCTTACGCCCATTCGTGAAGAATAGGATCAAACATAATATGCTATAAAATCGAGCGAGGAAAATTCAATGACCATTCATGTTTTAGAAATTGCTAAACCAGAATATACTTCATCAACAATTATCTGAGAAGATCCATTCACAGGAAGGAGATGCCGCAACTAAATTAGCACAAAGACGATAAAATCTATTTTCTAAAACTTTCTTGCTATTTCTAAAACTTTTTTGGTAGTCAGATTGATTCTCTCCAAACTCTAGGAGAAGTTTAGGTCAGAAACAAACAAACACAACTAGTCTTGCAATTATCGAACGGGCAGATGAGCCACACTCTGAACATTAATTCTCTAAGAGTTTGATTATTAAGACGAGTTAGCTAATTAGGTTGGTTGTCTTCGAATTTATCTTTGGCCGTCTGACCACTAAATTGGTTTGAGATGTTCCAGCAATTACCATCAGAGAACAAAAAATGCTAAGATCGACAACACATATACTAAACATCTTAAGAAATAGCACGGGGCTCACCAATGAATAAACGATAAGCATCTGGAAGCTGTCTTTTCTGAGTGGCGAAGAAAATCTCAGTCTTCTCTGTAAGGGAAAGTGCCGGATCAACTATTATTCGCTTCAGTTTCTTCAATCTACAACATGGAAAATAAACATAACGACGGTTTTGGGCGCTTTAAAAGTTACTGCTCGGAATCCTCTCACGATTAATGAGATTAGTCGGCTCCAAATTAAGGACTTACTCTCTCCATCCAATGTAGCCAGTATGGTTCACAAAATTAAGATTCCTCGGCAGGTAAGAGAAAATGTGCAAAAGATCTAAAAGAAAGTGGGGGAAATCATTTAGAATTCACAATGACTTAATGGGAAGAACAATAACGGCTAAGAATTCCCGGCAGAAAATATAATCAATATAAAAGGACCACAGCAGTGAGTCAATTGATGAAAATTTGAAAAATGACAACCCACAAACAATCAACATTAGACAAATCCGGGCAATAGCGAAAACTAGACTATCCAAAACTCCGACTGCTAATATCTTCGAACTATTGTACAAACATGAAATTCCCATTAAATTCAGGGTCGGAATTGAATATATAAACAAAGTATAGAGTGAAAAACAGGCTCTGTGCGCACAAAAATGAAATCACCCTTAATAGTAGCAACAATTAACTTAGAACACAGTGCTGGAGAATCGAACATTTATTCGTACAGACTCATCCTTTTCCTTCTCTAAGAATGTTCATACATGAATCTCGGGGGGCAGCCAATTTCGATATTGCAGGAATACAGAAATCAAGACTAATATATGGATCTAAATTTGAATAAAAACTAGGAATATCCAATCAGAAATGGCATACACACAACAAAAACTACAGATCAAATTTGGTAAAAGTTTAGAGACTTCCATAGCAATGTGGCAAATCAAGAAAAACCTCAAGAACACACACAAAATCTACAGATCAAATTTGGTACAAGTCTAGAGACTTCCACAGCAATGTGGCAAATCAAGAAAAACCTCAAGAACACACACACTATCTTTAGAAATGTTACGGAAATTCAGGTCTGCCACTGAATTTTGCAAAATCTATAAACCCTAAATAGCACACGGATCGAGCCAAACTAAATATACAACTGAACCATGAATCTATGGGCAATTCAAGAAAAAAAAAAAAAAATGTACCATCCTGAGTGACAAGAGGATAATCGGAAGCAGAGAGATTGATGAACCAATCCCAGTCGGCCGACAGACGGAGCATAATGGAAGCTCCGTGGAGTGTGGCGGAAAGAGCAGATGGACCATCGGGGCACACATTATTCCCTTTCCCAATTACGTGAACATTACGCGCCGCTCTGAAGAGCCGCACCGATTGGACTGTGACAGCCAAAGCGTCACGGTCGGTCTGGCTAGCAGAACCGTCGAGGTGAAGCAAGTAATGATTTAAAGGATGGTATACGGCGTAGAGCAGTCGGATGATCTGTCGCGATTCATTGGCGGATCCGGAGATAAAATAGGCTAAGGAAGGAGGCCGAGGCGGGGACAATGAGTCTCCTGGCTTATATACCTCACCTTCGCCGCCATTGAAGAGGATGCGGTGGCGCCGGGGGAAGAGCGCCGGGTGGGGTTCCGACGGCGGCGGGAGTTGAGTTGGTCCTTTGAGGAGTGTGAATACGAGAAGGAGAGACAAGAAGGCGGTGCACAGCAGGATGTATCGAGAAGGAACGGCGGAGACCGCCGCCGCCGCGGCGGTTCCGGCGGCGGATTGTTGGTTGTGCATTTCAAATATTCTTTTAAAGCTTTCCTCGGCCCACAGTAGGGCTTGTAACTTTACAGCCCATTCCATATATTCCTAACATTCATAAACACGAATTTAACTGTTAAAACGTGTTTCTTATTTGACGATTTTAGATCGAATTGTAGGAAACCGGATAGGAAGTCACTGTAGAAACCGGGGGTTGTTCTTCAGAGCCCATTCCAAAATATTCCTAAAAATCGTGACACGACTTTAGTTGTTAAAACGTCACATTAGGTAATGTAAAGTTTTTATTTTTACGATTTTAGAACGAGTTGTAGGAAACCGGACAGGAGTCACTGTAGAGGCTGGGGTCGTTCTTCCACTAGTTAACTCTTTTTAAGGAACTGTTTTCAGTATTTTCTCTCATTTAGGGAAAAGAATTTCAGAGGAAGAGGAGGATCGAAGCGGGAAGATGACGGAGTCGGTGATAAGGAAGAAGCCTGGGATGGCGAGTGTTAAAGATATGCCGGCGCTGCAAGACGGGCCGCCACCGGGGGGGTTTGCGCCGGTTAGGTTTGCGAGGAGGATCCCGAGCAGTGGACCTAGCGCGATGGCAATTTTTCTGGCTGCCTTCGGCGCCTTTTCTTGGGGAATGTATCAGGTCGGGAAAGGAAACAAGATCCGAAGGTATGTTTGTGCGATTGGGCCTTCTAAAAGTTCGTCCTTGTTGTGCTGGTTTGTTTGCAATCGTTGTTTTTAAGTTTAATCGATGTCTTAATTGGATTGTATTGCGCCGGGTAATGTGAGTGAAGAAGATAGTTTCTGAGGAGTGAGGTATCTGAATTAGAATTTCTGAATAATCGATTGCTTTCTGAGAGCATATACGGATTGGAGTCTTGGAATGCTAATAGTTCCTGTGAATTCAGAACCTGGAGAGGTTGAGTCCTTACTTCGCCAATAATTTTGTTATATTTTGAAGTTAAACTTGGAGTTTCTGAATCACACACCAAACCTGGCCTAAATTCAAATCCAATACAATGGAGTATATCATTTGTCACTGAGATGTTAATTGACTGGGTGGAGTATTAGTTCTTAGGGTTTTCTGGAAAAAGTTGTAACCATTTTTGTCGCGGAATTATAGATTGGATCCTTCAATTAGTTTGCTCTCTTGGCATTGAGCCGTAGCTGTTTTTACTAGTGCTGTGAGTTCTTTTATCTACAAAGGTAGAGAGTGAAGCAAGTAGTCCATAAACATGAGGCACGGATCTTGCAGTAAATTTTCATGTCCTCCCGAGTAGAATGACAGAAACTTAAGGAAAAGTGTTTTTATCACCACTAGTTTCTTAGTAATACATTGAATGAATATTTTCTGTATGCGGGGATGGGTAGCCCACACTGCTATGTTCATATTCTTATGTATGAGTGCATGTGTGTGCAGACGTATCTGTAAATGGTGCACGGTGCAGCACGGCACAAGGTCTGCGCCGTGCCATCTTGCACGGTCTGACACTCTGAATATTAGTATATCTTTAGGGTGTGTTTACTTTGAGTGATTAGGGTGGTTAATATTTGGTTACTTCAAACTTATTAAAAACCCGATATAGATTAAAGCCTGATATAATAATACACTAATTAAGGATAATTAATTCTATCAAGATGGATGAGATTAATTTATCTCAAGTAATATTTATACTAAAAGTTATTATCCTATATTTAATTAAGTAAAGTTATTATCTTGTCGGACCTAGTTTGCACCCAGAGCACACCCGAAGGTTAGCAACTGCGGGTTCCCACGTTATAAAAAAAAAAAAAAAAAAAAAGTAAACATGATATATTAATCTCATAACTATATGATCTGTTAAAATAATCTTATGTGTTATAATCTTATTATTCAAAGTAAACACACCCTTAATATACATGATACACATATATTATACACACAATATATAAAACATAAAACTAGTCAAATAACTATAATAAACTTGGGAGAACTCAGAATCAAAAGACCAGTGGCTGCCAATCTGTTCCATACAAACATTTATAATATGAAACAAGGTTGAACTTCAATATACACATTGTAGAATATAAGTATAAAAAGGAAATAAAACCGTTTTTGCAAGAAAAACAGAAACATCCTCTGCCGTAAGTGGTAGTTGAGTGATGGTGCAGTGGAAGATGGAAGCTAGTTATGAGCTATGAGTGGAAGAAGCTCAGAAAGAAAGGTAGAATAAAACTTTTCTAATCCTTAGTTAATTAATAATAACGACATAACCCTAATCGAACCTAATCAGTCCCAGTAAGTAAAAATAAATAACAAAATATTGCTTTGCTGCTATGGTGCAGAGGGATAGAAAGAGTTATCTAGTTGGGGGAGTGCCGAAGTTATTTTAACATCATTACTTTTAGCAATTTCTTTGAAAATTATTGTTAACCGTCTCGCAAAGGAAAACTCCTAGAGATAAACTAGATTTTTGTTTCCTCGAACGTAGTAGCTGTATCACAAATCCATTTCTTATGTTGCTATCACACACATCATTCATAATGTTTCATTAGAGCGCATGAAGTTGACATCTTTATATATTATGAATCCTAGTCTTTAAACTTATATTCCTTCTCGTGTTATCGCTGTAGAATGGCGTAACATAACTATCCTCTCTTTTTCTCTCTCTAGATGCACATTGTTGCTTATTAATTTTACAGTGGCATTATTACATACTCCCTAAGCTTGTCCAAATCTATTCTCAGTTTCGTTTTGGTTGTCCTTAAAATATGTTGTCAATTTATTTTTTTAGTAAAAAAATGAGTATTTGTTTGGGTGTGTTTACTCGTAAATTTTTTTTTTTGGGTTTGAGTTTTGAAAAGTAAAATTTTAAATGTAAATAGTTGTTTGATATGATATAAATATGTGGTGATGTAATGTTTTATTGTAGTGTAATATAATAAATGAAAAATAAGTGTTTGATTTGATGTTTTTTAGGGAAAAAAATTTGGGAATAGTAAGACCAAAGTTAAAACCCTACAACTAAACACACCCTTTATAGTTTTAGTTTGAGGTGTTTTTTTATGTTAGATATTGAGAAACGTATCAGAAATATAAAACGTAATATTAATATTGAATTGTTGATTTTTTGTGAGTGGATAGAGTATATCTATTATATATTGTGTAGATATGTATATATATTGTATCTTTTTGTGAAATTAATTGGAAAATATATCAAAAATATTAGTATGTTGGAAGAACACACCCTATGTTATTTTTTCACTTATTTTTTTTCAGTACACAAGGCAAAAGTTTTAATTATTATTCATTCTTGTTAAAACGTGTGCCTACATGTTTGTGCACAAAATTGATGGAGTTAGTATCTGTTTTTCTTGGTTGAGTTGGAGTAATAATGATTCATCGGATGTATTATGTCATATAGGGCATTGAAGGAAGAAAAATACACCGCTCGCAGGGCTATATTACCAATGCTTCAGGCGGAAGAAGATGAAAGGTGTCACATCACCCCTCGTTCCATAGTCTAATTTCTTGTTTAAAAAGTCCTTGTCCAAATTTCTTCGGTACACTCTACTCCCCTCTCTTCTAACCCCCAATTTCTTGTGAATCATTTAGGTTCGTCAAAGAATGGAAGAAGTATCTCGAGGAAGAGGCCAGAATCATGAAAGATGTTCCCGGTTGGAAAGTGGGCGAGAGCGTCTACCATTCTGGAAGATGGGTGCCTCCCTCGACTGGGGAGCTCCGCCCTGATATATGGTAACAATTTGTGGTTTTAACCTTGGTTTTGGCGCATGGGATGCAGGCATTCTTTTCCTTTTCCTTTTCCGCAATATTCTCACTTTTCTTGCTCATCGAAATAAAAAAGTTAGAAGGACAATGCAGAAAAATCAGTTAAGTTTTCGGATAAATCATCCCTTGCGTGTGGTGTCTTCATCGGATTAGTATCTTTCCGATGATTCGATGTTGGATGCTATGTTCTGTATTATTGAACTGATATACTACCTCTTCTTTGGTGAGTTAATACATGAATTCTGAAGCTTCGATTACTAGACATTACTGTTAGTTATGATTGTGTTTGGTTGGCCTTTCTTTTTTTTTTTTTTTTTTCTTTCTTTCTGAGTATTGGTCTGAACTCTACGTTTTATGGAAAAATAGGGAATTACTAAAGTCAAGGATTCTCTAATTTTTTTTAAATCTTCCTCCAAAATTTTTTTTCTGAATTTCACTCCAATTCGTTCTATTTTTTTCTCTAAAACGAATATTATATTCTTTATTTTTAAACAATTATATAGCTTTTATTCAATTTTTATATATTTACATATTAACCCCAAAAATCTCATTTCAATAAATTCAAATTATTTTATTGAGATAATAATAATAATAATAATTATAAATTATTTAATTTAATTGTTATATATGTGAAAAATAATGATTTAAAATAAATAAAATAAAAAACTAAGGTGAAATTATAAACATATTAAGAAAATAATAGACGTAAATAAAATACAATTAAATTAAAATATTATTTATTACAATCCTCTTAATTAATTAATGTGGCGTTTCCATAAATGATTATTAATGCATTCCGCAGTGTGCTATATGTGCATTTTTGTCTTTTATCGGTATGTGTCAACCGAAAAATTGCTGAAATCAAGCATCTTCATCGACAACTCTTTTAACCGTAGGAAGTGGTTTATTCGAACTGTTTATTATTGGTGCACTGAGATCACGTTCATCTTCGATAATCATATTATGCATGATAATGCATGTAAACATTACGTCATATAAAATATTTTTATCCCAAAAACGATATGGTCCTGCGACAACTGCAAAACGTGATTGTAGAACTCTGAATGCACGCTCTACGTCTTTTCTAAAGCCTTTTGTTTCATTGCAAAATATTGTTTTCCTTTTTTTTTTTTTTTTTTTTTTTTTGCCCCATAGCTCATGAATAGTTTGCACTAGATTGACCACTTTGGGTATATACTATCAATTAAATAATATTTTATGTCGCACTTTTTTCCTTGGATAACATAATTTGCAGATGAAGTAATACCTTGTGTAAGATTGAAAAATAAATTTGATGAGTTAAGGACATTAATATCATTGTTTGCCCCGGGCAAACCAAAATAAGCATGTCATAGCCACAACTTCTACTATGATCGTCGGTTTGCGTGAATGTCCTGTATACTGTCCCGAAAAATGCTGTAGGACAATTTTTCCACTTCCAATGCTATACAATTTAAATTACCAAAGATTCCGAAAAATCCACGGCTTTCGCCAATATGCACAAGAGCCTCGCCACATCATTCGTATTGGGTGATCTTAGGTAAGTTACTGCAAAAATTTCAACAACCGAACGACAAAATCTCTTAAGATTTTCAATTGCAGTTGATTCACTGATTTTTACATATTCGTCTGTTGCATCTGCCGGTATACCATATGCCAACATTCAAAAACATCGGTTCCTTTTTGGGAGGAATGATAATTTCATTCTACATACATATATATATATATATATATATAATGATTTAAAGAGATAATTTAATTACGTTAAATTAAATAAAATAAATGGACTCAATTTACTTATTCATATTGGATACCATATATATATATATATATATATAGAGCAAAAAAATGACACAATTTAGACTTAATTTAATTATTCACATTGGAAATCATTTTAATAGACCAAAAAAACGACACAATTTTAAATCAAATAAAAAAGAATGAACACAGTTAAATATTTGAATTGGATACCAATTTAATGGACCGAAAAATGACACAATTTTAAATCAAATAAAAAGAATAGACACAATTAAATATCTACATTTGATACCAATTTAATAGATAAAAAAATGGATATAATTTTAAATCAAATAAAATATATTGAAAATGATCATAAATAAATGTTCACATTGGATACTAATTTAGTGGACAAAATTGAAGATTCCAACATTTGACATCACACAATGTTTTGTTTATATACGAAGCTTTCAAATAATTCATCCCACAATATTTTTATTTTAACCTTATCTCCGACAAAAATTAAAATACTACATGTCTCAGCATTTCCTATTCAAACAAAATGGGTTCTCCGGCTTCTGGATACACTGCCCGTGAAGATATTAATTTGTATGGAGCTTATACGAGTATTTCTTAAGATCCTGGCCTAGGTGTGTATCAATATAGCTAGGGAGCAATTTTAGGCAAGAGTTGAAGTAGCCTATAATGATCAAAAGGAGATTGACTTAGAGATTCGTAATGTAAAATCATTATAATGTTGATGGCATAACATAGAGAAAGCTGTTCGGTAATTGATAGCGTGTGTCCCGCAAATTGAAAACATGAATCCTACTGGAGCATTAGAGCAAGATATTGTAAGTATATATATAAATTATACGCTATAATAACAATTTGATATGTTTTAATATATTTATTGAAATCCAATATTATTTGTTGTTGGATCGAGTGGAGTTGTTATTTATGGAAGATTGAACGTTTAAATTGTTTTTAAGTTCGACCATGTTTGGAATTCATTAAAATATTTTGTGATGATGTTTCAAGTGTGAGGCAACAATCTGAATCACAAAGAGTAGGCTATGTCTCTTCCGATCCCGATAATCATATTCCTACTTCTGAATCTGGTTCTCTAATATCGCAACGGCATTCAAGTTTTTCTATCAATTTAAATGAGGATGTGGGTGGATTTTCAATTCGAAGACCCGTTGGAGTAAAAAATGCGAAACTGAAAAGAAAAATTGAAGAAAATAATAACGCAATACATAAATACAATCAATAAATTTTTGAATTGATAAAAAATGCACAAGATGAAAAAGAAAAAATGAGAGCTTTCAAAGAATCCCAAAAAGAGGATAAAATCCTACTTATGAATTTAAATAACACATGGGATTCTACAATTCGGGAGTATTTCAAAAATAAACAAATAAGGATTTTTTTTTAAAAAAAAATTGCGAAACAACAACATTCACGCCTCCATCATGTTTGGATCTGTTTTGTTATGATTTTAGTAATTTAGGTGGATGTGGATCCGATCTTCCGCCACATTAATATGTATCTTTATTTCTATTTCAGTAATTTAGTTATTGTTGCTTTTAATATTGTTTATATTTTATTTAATTTTATATTGTAATATTTATGTGCAATATTATATTGTATAATATTTATATTGTGTAATATTATATTGTGTATTTATTATATAATATAATATATTATGTATTAAAAAAATCACACTAAATATACCTTCCGAGCCCTCCGAATTGAAAGAGAATTCGAACAGAAAAAAGATACTCCGAATTGTTTTAATAATAACAATAAATATAAATATAAATAAAATAATTTTTTAAAAAAAAAAGAAAAAAGAAAGTCTGAATAAATCATCCGAATTGAACCCATAGAATGAATAATAATAACAATAAATAATTAAATTAAAAATAACAAATATATAAAATTCAAAACTTCAAAGACCAAACTCCAAAACAAATATTTTTTCTATTTTTGGAGAAATGCTAATAGAAGAACATTTTAGCTCGCTTTAAAATTAGAGTGAGAAATGAAATCGGTTGTAAAAATCTTTCTCAAGAAATAGAGTATTCCTCCAAATACACAATCCATTGAAGAAGCTTTAAGTAAAAATTTTGAAAATAACAATTAAAAGAATAAATCTATGTTGTATAATTGGCTTTTTGGTAGGGTACTTAATGATATTATTCAACATCCTATTGACTATACAATGTATATATATGAACACATTATAAATATATGAATAGCATATAGTTATTTTAATATAATAAAACTACAATATATAAAGTATCATATCATGATAACTCAGACTGATTTTTGGAAAAATAGGACTTAAAAATTTGTGAGCATTGGATAATTTTTTTTCATTATAATTTTCACACATTTCTTTCTTTCAAACATAGTCATCTTATTCTGATACTTGACCAACTTTAGGACAATGAAATTGAGGTCATGATCTATAAATATTCTAAAGCATATTTTGACTCCTCCACGTTTCAGGTTTCATGGGACAACTCAAATTTATGTTGTAGTCTTTCGCGGGTGTATTCAATCAATATTTTGTATAATTTTGTTGAATTTTAAAATATTAGGTATAACAAATTTTTTTAAGTTTTTTAAAATTTGAAGATATTTAATCGAAAATTTTTAAAATTTTTAGGTATTCAATGCTCCATGGACTTTAAAACTCCATGAATTTTAGTGGATTGATTTAATTGAAAGTATTAAGAAAAATTACGGAAAATTTCTATAACTCTCTTGTAGTTTAGAAATTCAGTGTAAATTCTTCTTATACTTTCAAAGTTACATGGTGGACCTTATACTTTAAAAAACGTTGCATGAAATCTTTCGCCATGCTAAAAATATAGATATGAAACTATCTTTTCATCACACAAAAAATGTAAACAGGGGATTTTATGCAATGTTTTTGAAAATATAAGGGAGCGTCATACAATTTTTAAAGTATATAAAATTTATGTTTTGAAACCACATGAGAGTTATGGACAATTGTGCCAAAAATTATATGGTATGAAATCTCTCCTAATTTTTTAAAAGAAATAGTATTATTGGTGAACTCTTATGAAAAAATTGATGAATTCTTGTAATTTTAAAAGAAATTGAGTATTATTGATATATAAATATTAGGATAATATTTATTAATATTATTGTATTTTTATAAAAATAATAATTTGAAATTAAAATATGCTAGCGAATGGTTACAAAAATTTTCGAGAGTACTTGTGTTATTATTATTAAGTATAATATTAAAAAATATTATAATTTTATCATAATATATAGTATGCATTACTACTATTTTCCTCTGCATCGTCATTTTGGTGGAAGTGAAATATTTATTTATATTTCTTTCATAAAAACGAAAATCGTTCATTTTTATTTAGTTTTTTTTCTTTTAATTTTAAAGTTCAATTTTTTTTTCAAATATCGTAATATGTCGTAGTTTTATTTATATATTTAAATGATGTACTATCACGAAAAATTAAACTTC